TAAATTTAAAACTTGATTATTATTCCTACCCACTCAAAAACCCCCTTTTCATCCACAATTTAATTTCGTAAAAACCCACCATACCTTTTCCTGGTTTACTCGGTAAACCTACTCCTCTATAATTTTTACAATCTCTTTTGTCCCCCTTCCCTTTATATAAAGGAATTATACATGCTCTCTGCCAATCCCTAGGTACCTTCCCCTCTTTCATACATTTATTAAACAAAGATACCAACCACTCCAACACTATATCCCCCCCTGCTTATAACATTTCTGCCATGATCCCATCAGTTCCAGCTGCTTTACCCCGTTTCATTCTATGTAATGCCTCGCGTACCTCCCCCACACTTACATCCTGCTCTTCTTCACTCCTGAAAGATGGTATACCTCCCTGGCCAGTGCATGAAATTACCGCCTCCCTTTCTTTGTCGATATTTAAAAGTTCCTCAAAATATTTCTGCCATCTACCCAATACATCCATCTCCCCATCTACTAACTCCCCTACTCTGTTTTTAACTGACAAATCTATTCGTTCCCTTGGCTTTCTTAACTTGTTTATCTCACTACAAAATTTTTTCTTATTTTCATCAAAATTTCTTGACAGTTTCTCTCCCACTCTTTAATCCACTCTCCTTTTGCACTCTCTCACCACTCTCTTCACCTTTCTTTTACTCTCCATTTACTCTGCTCTTCTTATAACACTTATGCTTTGTAAAAACCTCTCATAAGCTACTTTTTTCTCCTTTATCACACCCTTTCATCATTCCACCAATCACTCCTCTTTTCTCCTGCACCCATCCTCCTATAGCCACAAACTTCTGCCCCACATTCTAATACGCATTTTTAAAACTATTCCAACCCTCTTCAACCTCATCCCCCCTCTACTCATACTTACACTAGCCCACCTTTCTGCCAGTGGTTGCTTATATCTCACCTGAACTTCTTCCTCCCATATTTATACATTTTCCCTCTCTTCACTTGTTGCGTCATTTTCCTTTGTCCCATGTACTCTTACCTAAATGTACTATGTAATAATTATTATTATTATTATTTTAATTTTTTATACTACTACTACATAAATTTAAAAAATAATTTTTAATAATAATAAAATAATAATAATAATGCAGATGTTCGGAACACCACCTCTAGTTCGTGCAGCACACTGTTTACCTCACTGTGGGAGGATATTTTGTCATGCTTTCCTTCCATTTTTGACAGTTATTTGGCCAAATTTCTTGTTTCTAACCATGGGTCCTAAGAAATTAAATGTAAAGGACAGTGCTGAGATGAAAAAGAGGATGATTTCCATGGAATTAAAGCATGAAATCATAGATAAACAAGCGAGGTGTGCGGGTTGTGAGTTGAGGGGAAATCGGGGGAAGCTGGCTCGTAACTTGGTTGTTGGCTCGTAAGTCAGAGCAAAAAAATTGACCAAGCGACGGCTCATATCCAAAAATTTGTATGTTGGGACACTCGTAAGTTGAGGTTCCACTGTTTTTAATTTTTGCTGTTTTGCCTAAAGGGCATTTGAAGCCCCCTCCAACTCCCAGTCTGTTTTATGGGTTTTTATTAGGTCTGCTTCAATTATTGGGATGCTCTAAACCATGAGGAATCTTTCTTGGTTATATTTAATTATTTGAGAGATACGAGTAAATCTAATATTTTTGCGTGAATAAGATTTCAAATGGAAAGTACAGTGGTCCCTCAGATATCAGCCATTCTGGGTATTGGCCAAGCTGGATATCAGCCACTTTTTTGGCTGAAATTCTATCCTGGATTTCAGCCGGCAGCTCGGAATTTGGTCGTATTGGACATGTCTGCCCGTCGCATGCGTGAGGGAATCTGGCTGTGTCTCGGTGAGTGAGCAACACTCTGTGCATTCATCCAAACATTTCGTTATAATCTATTGTTTTTTGTGGTTGTTTATTGAGTGTGGCTGCTACATAAGTCTCCATGGGCCCAAAGAAAGTTCTTAGTGCGATAAACGGTTTAAAACTACAAGTTGAAGATTGAGACACTTATGCAACATATGGCAATCTTTATTGAAGAAACGTTTTGCCACACAGTGGCTTCGTCAGTCCAGTACAAAGCAGAAATGTGTAAGGAGAGGAGTAGTTCGAGGTAATCAGTCCCTCAGCCTGGAGTCGATGTGTTCAGTACATCAAGATTGATGGACTGAACCCATCGACTCCAGGCTGAGGGACTGATTTCTTCAAACTCCTCCTCTCCTTACTCCTTTCCTTTCTGATTTGTATTGGACTGATGAAGCCACTGTGTGGTGAAACATTTCTTCAGTAAAGATTCCCATATGTTGCATAAGTGTCTCTATCTTCAAAGTTCCTAGTGCCAGCCCTTTGGTAAAGGATTGAAAGAAAGGGGAGAATGTGCCTTCTTCAGTGATTCAATAATTCTACGATATGTACGATACTAAAGCAGCATGGGTCAATAAAGGCTGTAGCGCCAGCCAGCGATAAAGTGTAGCATTAACAGTAGCAAGCAAGTTAAGCGATAGAAAAAGGACAACAAGAAAATTTTCCAATGTTGTTTGATGTATATAGGGCCACTGACAACATATGTCCCCCTACGTATCTTCCACCACCCTAAACCTCTGTCATCATCTCAATAACCACTTTATTTCTTCACATTTTCCACAATAACCATTTTATTTCTTTACATTCTCTATCATGTTTTTGTACTATATTTCATGTTTATAAATTACATACATTGTTTCAGTGTGGCTAGTGGTGTTTCAGTGTGACTGGTGGTGTTTCAGTGTGGCTAGTCGTGCGTCTAGTGGTGGTGGCCACTGCCACCGCCGCCACCACCACTGTACGGCTTATGCTGTCAGTGGCCCTGATAAACCCAACACCACCACCACTAGTCACATACGTAATGATATATTTTATTCATTCTAGAGTATATATCATGTTTCTATGTTATTATTATTGTTTATTATGTCACATTAGATGAATTGTGTTAGATAAATAAGCCGTAGAGTTGATATTAGCGCCAACAGAAGTTTTCAATGAAGGTAAGAGTAATGTTAAATGTTCATTTATCCATTTCATTAGTTATTTTATTTAGTTCTGATTGGCTTGTGTATGTAAAACTAAAGTTAATCTTCAAAAAAATGTATTTTTTGTTAATATTTTTGGATGTCTGAAATGGATTAACCCTAAAACGGTCCAAACATATATACGTTCTTTCACGTAGTGCCCCAAATTTTTTGAGGAAAAAAAAAAACTAATTTTTTTAACCCTTTCAGGGGTCTGTGCCGTAGATCTACGGCTTTACATTGAGGGTCCAAACCGTAGATCTACGTCATGAGCTCAGCTCACTCTGATAAGCTGTGAGCGGTAAATTTTGGCCTAGATACGAGAGAAAACATCTATGTGGTATGTGTGCACCACATAAAACAAATCTTGCAGCACATAGTGCATAATGAGAGAAAAAAACTGAGACCATAATTTTTTATTAAAACAGCAACTTTGCAGTGTTTTTTTGTATGTTTTTAAAGCTGTATTTGTGATTTCTTGGTCTCATTTGATAGAATGGAAGATGTATTACAGAAATAGAGATGAATTTGATTGGTTTTAGTACTTTAAATGGCTTGAAACTGAGCTCAAAGTAGCAGAAATGTTAAATTTTTGCTGTTGTTCAAGAGTAAACAAATGACCTCACACGTCGAATACACACCTGCTGGTGGGTCTAATATACATTCACAAATGTGGTGATATTATTTATACAATTACACCTACCATCTGACTTAAGACTTGCTCGACATACGACCACCCGACTTACGACCGTGTTTTTTATGCCTAATATCTGGGAAATAAACAACTATTTGTGTTGTACACAGTGTTTATCCTAAAACTTACAGTATAAAATACAGTTCTAACAACATAAAAAGTAAAGTAAAACATGAAATACCAAAATAAAGCAACAAAATAGTCATTACGAAAATGTGATGTTGATATTCAGTAGTAAAGTTCGACTTAACATCCATTTCGACTTACGACCGGTTTCTCGGAACCGAACTCGGTCGTAAGTCAGATGGTACCTGTATTACAATATTGCATAACAGTAAATCTTCTCTTTTTTGGTTTGAATAAAAATTCATTATGTGAATAAAAAATCAAAATGGAATTCATTAGTAAAGCCTGAAAATGTAACTAATGAACAGAGGAAATGTTAGTTTAGTGCCAGGAATGCCTGCATTGTTTATTCTGGACCCTATTTTGAAATTGGAGTATTTTGAACTTTGCATTAAATTGGCCAAATTACCAATTTCCGATCACTATTTTGTAGTTGATTTGGCGATTTCTTGTGCTCAATTGATAGAATAAAAGTAATAATAGTGAAATAGCTAAGAATTTGGTTGACTGGAATAATGTAATTGGCCTAAAATGGGAGTCAAAGTCGGCAAAATCGTGGAAGCGTAAACATCGCTGACGCATCAAAATTCGCAATAGCATAATTTCGTAAATTTTCCATCAAATTTCATACTTTTTGTTTTATTACCTTCAGAAAAAGATTCTCTACCATTTCATAAGAAAAAATAAAATTATTTTTTGAAAATTCTTGGACACTGGTGCACACTTTGAAATTTGGCCTCTGGACCCTGAAAGGGTTAATAGGAAAAAAAGAGCTCATGATACCCAGGCATCCCCAATTTTTTTAATATGGTGCACAGTGAGTGCGCATACCCATTCTCTCATGTCTAGGCGACTCAGGCTTATTGTGCCAATGTTGAATGAATGACAAAGGAAACGTATATATACGTTTGGGGCACTACGGGAGAGAACGTATATATGCGTTTGGACCGTTTAAGGGTTAATTGTGTATTTACATCAATTCTTATGGGAAATATTAGTTTTGTTTTTGGCCTTTTTAGATTTAGGCCGACCTTTTGAAACGGATTATGGCCGATAACCAAGGGCCCACTGTAAGTGTAATATAAGAGGCATCTGGGGATGTGACTAATGAACACAAAAAAAATGTTGCTTTAGTGCCAGTATTTTTTTTTTTTTTTTCTTTTTATTATGTCAATCATCACTTATAATTTCATTTACAAACATTTCAAATAATTTTAATATTAATTTTTTTTTTTTTCAGAGATGGGAGGAGATGCAGAGGTTCAGACAAGGGTCATTACAGTCAAAATGGCTTTGGCAAATCAGCGACGGAAGGTTGACCGGAAGAAGATGCTTAGCAGTAAACGGGTAAGTCGATTTATTGAGGGAAAGCAGTCTGTCAGCTTCGTTTTAATACAGCCTCTCCTCACTTAACACTGGGGTTTCATTCCTAAGAGTAGGTCAGTAAGCGAACTGGTTGTTAACCCTTTCAGGGTCGGCAGACCCTCTCCCAAACCTGTTCTCAGGGTCGGTAAAAATTTGAAAAAAAAAAAAAATTTCTTATGAAAAGATTTTTTTTTTTTTTCTAAACATTATAGGCTAAACAAAAATTTTTACCATTAATATTTACCGAGATATGGAGGTGTGAAGTTGACAGAAAATTAATGGCATATAGTAACATTGCCGGCTGCCGGTCACCCGGTATTCATTTATTTTCTGTTTTCGGTACTATTTTCTATTATTTTTTAATTTTTTTTTTCAAGTAACTTTTATGACCAATATTAGCACTATTTTGTAAGTTATTTCTTTTTCTATACTACTCAATAACAGCACAAACACTGTTGTCACTATTTTGTTTACAAAACTTATTTAAACAAATGAACAATGTAAAATGTTGTTTATTACTATTTTTCTATATTTTATATGCACATATACAGTCACAGGACATGTTTTTAGAAGTTCTGCAGCCTGTGGAAGTTTTTGAAACATGGTGTCATGCACAGTGGTGTTTTACACTCTTCACACTTAAAACGAGTGTCTCTGCATTGTTGTGGGCGTTTTTTGTATGTGCACAGACGTAACACCTCTTCTGAGCCTTTTTCTTGCAAGCAATAGCAGGCAGTTTTGTTAGGAAGTGATCACCATGCTTCAGACGAGAAGGTAGTTGATAATTTCGTGGGCAGTTTTCTATTGCAGGTGCTGTTCCTTGGTACTTGATTATTATTTGTCTGATGACAGACAAACAAAATTCACCATATGGTGGTTTGTTTCTGGTCCTCATCTTATACATATTATAAGCATTGAGCATGGAAATGTCCAGAATATAGAAAATGAGTTTTATGTACCACTTATAACTCTTGCGAACACAATCAGCAAACCCAATCTGCATGTCACATTTGTCCACTGAGCGCATATTGAGGGTGTAATCAATCACAGCTGCAGGTTTTAGAATGGGGTTTACTGCTTTCTCTATGCTGGCTGCCAGTGTCTGCCATTCATTGGAGTGAAATGATGACAACAATGTGACATCTTGTTTGTCATGCCACCGAAATGCCATGATGTCATTGGCAGCAAACTCCTGCACCTCACCTCTACGAGTGCCAGCATCGAACCTGGGCATATGTTTACGATTTGCACGCACTGTGCCACACACATCTGTCATGTTCACTTGCAAGAAATCACTGAGTAAAGGGCTTGTGTGCCAGTTATCACTATATAATATATGTCCCTTACCAAGATATGGTTCCATCATTGTTCTAACCACATCACCGGAGATACCCAGTAACTTCCTGGTATCTCGCTATGTATTACTTCCAGTGTACACAATTATATCCAGTACAAGACCACTGTAATAATCACAAAGCACAAACAACTTTATACCAAAGCGTTTCCTCTTCCCTGGTATATACTGCTTGAATGAGAGTCTTCCTTTGAACAGAATCAAAGACTCATCAATAACAAGCTTCCTGAAAGGATGAAAATACATATTGAATTTCTGTTTCAGATACACTAACACATTGCTAATCTTATATAACCTGTTGTTTCTGTCAGGTCTGGTTTTGTCTGAAAAGTGAAGCATACGTAATACTAGCACAAATCGATTCACTCGCATTATATCACTGAAACCTGTGGTTACAATCAGGCAGTCTGTTGACAAGTATGATTTCACACTGTGCTTATATACATGTGGCATAAGCATTATTGTGGCAAACAAAAGATACATCTCAGCCACAGTTGTCTCCTTCCATTGGTGTAGGTGTGAGTTTGGTGAAAGTATTGTGTTTGCCATGGTGTACGCGAAGTATCTGTTGCTTTCCCTGACAATAATTTCCATCAGGGGTTTGTCAAAGAATAACTCGAAACATTCCATTGTTCTCAAGTGTACAAGATGGCCGTATTCCACTTTGGCTTTCATCAAACTGATGAGGATTTGGAACAAAATTGGCAGCTTCCTGCCAATCCCAGGTGTGGTCTGCTGGTGGGTACTGGATATTGACAGGTGGTTGTGGTTGTGGAGGTTGTGGTTGTGGAGGCTGCTGTGGTGGGTGGGCGGGGGATAGTGGCCTTTGTTGTAGATCAGCTGAGGCAGGGGCATGGGTGGCAGCATGGCCCACTGCTGGTGCCTCACGGCCGGCACCTCCACTACCACCACCATGTACATTTTCCATCCCAATTGCAACACTATCATCTTCATTTTCACTATCTGTTCCTGATGTACAGCAATGGGATGTACTCCAAGATGTACTTCTTCCCCTTGGAATAGCATATGGCACACTACCAGAGCGCATATACCATCGTATATACAGTGGTCCCTCTTTTTTCATATTTAATCCGTTCCTGGAGGAGCTACTATTATCGAAATCTACGATTTTCGAATTGATTTTCCCCATAAGGAATAATGTAAATACAATTAATCCGTTCCTGACACCCAGAAGTATTTAAACAAAAAAATTTTTTACATGAAATATAGATGTAGTACATAAACAGTACAATGGGAAATGATGAATGAAACATTAACAGCATAGCACTTACCTTTATTGGCGATTCTTCTTAGTGTATGGAAGACTGGAGGAGGAGAGAGATTGGATTACTTACTGTTTGGAAGGGGAATCCCCTTCCATCAAGACCTCAGGTACCAAGTCCTTTTCTGGGGTTACTTCTCTTCTCTGTTTCTTAATACCACTAGGACCAGCTTTAGAGTCACTGGAGTCTTGTCTCGCAAAATAACTGTCCAGAGAGCTCTGTTTCTGGCGTCTCTTTAACACTTCCCTAAAATGGGCCAAGACTTTGTCACTGTACATGTTGCCAACACGGCTTGCAACAGCCTTGTCAGGGTGATGTTTCTCCATAAATCTTTCCATCTTACCTCACATTGCAAAAATCTCCTTAATTTCTAAAGAAGGCACCTTCTTCCATCTCTCTTCCTCCTCCTCCTCTGCAGCAAGATTCTGAGCTGCGATCTGTTGCTGTTCCTGCTGAACCTCTTGCAGCTCCTCAGTGGTGAGCTCTTCGTTGTGGTCTTCACCAACTCTTCCACATCCTCCAAACTCACATCTAACCCCATGGAACTCCCCAGTGCCACAATAGATTTAACAACAGACATAGGCTCATCAGGGTTAGTTCCAAACCCTTCAAAATCCCTCTTGTCGACACAGTCTGGCCACAGTTTTCTCCAAGCAGAGTTCAAAGTCCTAGTAGTCACTCCCTCCCAAGCCTTGCCTATAAGGCTTATGCAATGGAGGATACTGAAGTGTTCTCTCCAAAAATCTCTTAGGGTCAAGTGAGTGTCTGAGGTCACATTAAAGCACCTTTCAAACATTGCTTTGGTGTAGTTTTTTTTAACCCCTTCAGGGTCCAAGGCCAAAATCTGAAGTGGTGCTCCAGTGTCCAAGAAATTTTGAAAAATAAAAAAATTATTTTTTCTTACAGAATTAAAGAGCATATTTTTGTGAAGGTAATAAGACAAAAAAAAAAATTCTGATCAGTACTTACCGAGATACAGTGCCAAGAAGTTTGTCAAAAATGATGTGGTGGCGGCGGCAACATCGACGAATTCCACATACGCGCATTACATTATTTTGCGGTTTTTATTGTTTTTCTTTTCTTTTCCAATTTTTTTCTATTCCTACTAACATTTGGGGCCTGAGAGACCAATACTGTATATAATGTATATATATAAACTCACTGTATTGAACACAATAACTGCACTAAAGTTATTATCATATTATTGTTTACCACTGTTGTTTATTACAACAAACATGCACAAATCTTGTATAATACTAATGTTCTATCATATATTTACATATTTACAATCACTGAACATGGTTTTAGAACTGCTGGAGCTTGTGGAACTCCTTGAAACAAGGCACCATGCACAGAGGCACCTTACATTCCTCAAACATAAACCGAGTGTCTTTGTTGCCGTCGTTTTGTTTGTGCACAGACGATGCATCTCTTCTGAGCAAATTTCTTCTGAGTTGAAGGAAGTTGTATTATGAAATGATCACCTTCCCTCCTCAAACGCTTGGGTATATCCTGAGGAATTCGAGGACCGTGTTGTATAGCAGGTGTTGTTACCTGGTACTTCATTATGAGTTGTCTGACAACAGTCAAACAAAATTCACCATACGGTGGTCTGTTGCCAGTCTTTATTTGGTACATATTATATATGCATTGAGCATTGAAATGTCCATGAGATGGAAGAAAAGTTTCATGTACCACTTGTAACTCTTACGAACACAGTCAACAAAACCAATCTGCATGTCACATTTGTCAACCAAGCGCATGTTTTGTGTATAATCAATCACTGTCACTGGTTTTCGAATACGTTCATTAGTCACTCGATCAACTTTGCCACTGTCTTGCATTTCATTACGGTGAATGGTTGTCAACAATGTGACATCTCGTTTGTCATGCCACCGTAATGCCATGATGTCATTGGCAGTAAACACCTGCACGTCATCACCACGAGCACCTGTGTTGAGCCTGGGCATATGTTTACGATTAGAGCGCACTGTGCCACACACATCTGTCTTGTTCACTCACATGAAATCACTGAGTAATGGGCTTGTGTACCAGTTATCGGTATATAATGTATGCCCCTTTCCAAGATTAGGTGCCATCATGTTTCTCACTACGTCACCTGAGATACCCAATAACATCTTGGTATCTTTCAATGTTTTACTACCCGTGTATACAACAATATCCAACACCAGGCCACTGTCACAGTCACAGAGTACAAACAGTTTTATACCAAAGCGTTTCCTCTTGCTCGGTATATACTGCTTGAATGACAGTCTACCTTTGAACAAAATCAAAGACTCGTCAATTACAAGATTCTTGAATGGATAAAAGTATATGCTGAACTT